TGTAGCTTTGTCGTGATCGTATTCAAACTCTACTGGACTATCAATCCCTCCATTACACTGTCTGAATAATCCTTGCATGAGATCAGGAGAAAAAGACACACCCTCACTATCGCTGTCCCCTTTCTCTTCATCTCCGTCATCCTGCGTCCAATCAAAAGGTGAGAATCCCGAGAGTTCTAGATCTATAGAGGTACTTTGTTCACTTGCTGTCTGACAATCCTATTTATTGTGAACAGTTAATATTATAATTATGTCTGACCAGGTCTGACAGACAATTAATGCAAGACAATAACAACTAATATACACATAACACACTCAAACAACAAACAGATGGTGATCATAATCGACATTCACTGTGTTTCCCACAAAGCATGCTATAAGTGAGCTAAACAGCATGAGCTTCATGAGCTGACAAGCACTACAATACAGTACATGGCATTTGGAGCAACTTTAAAAATTCATTAAAAATCCAAATTTGATCAAAATGAGCTCAAACTTTCTACACAACATAAGAGCATGTATATGTATCATAAATTATTGTATAAGTGGAGCATTTTTTCCTTTTCATTTCTTACAAATTTGGCCAAAATCTCTGTACTATTTAGTACAGGGACTTTGGTCCAATTTTGAGCAACTTTAAAACCCACTTGACAAGTAGCTGCATGAGCAGATGAGCTCTATGCCAAAATCTAGTGGGAAGCCCTGCATTTACAATTTCACTGCATTATCATAATCATAAGCAATTATAGTCTAATTCTCTCCCTCCCTCCCTCTCTCTCTGACCTCATCGTGAGCAAGCAGAGTGAGTAAGAGCTGATCCTTAACAAGTGAATGAGACCAACTGGATAAAGAAAGAGACACTGTCGATTTATGAAGTCTTTGTAAAAACCTGCTCAAAATAAACAGAGAGAATCCTACGCTTACTAATCTTAATGCATACTTTGTTTCAACGGCAAGTGGCCCCACTCTACTGAGTGTTGTCGTATCTTCATTAGACTCGAGAGGGACCTCAAAACAGGTTTTAAAGACAGTTTCTACCGTTTTACTATGACTAGCGGGTGTAGGAAGAGGTGCGTTTGATTCCAGTGGCGGGTCACTGAACGATGCCCAATCAGTAGACGGGTCAGCCTGCTCACCAGTCGTCTCATTTTCGAAAGGATCTTCCCCTGGGCTTTCCTTACCTTGAGTCTCGATATCAATGCCTTCCCATTCGGACCAGGAGGACGTACTAAAGCTCCCCAGCTCCTCCGCCATGATAAGCCAGCCTTTGTTTTGGGTGGAGTAGAATAGGGAGACGCCCTTCTTTTCCCCGTACATTGACGTATTCCGAAGTATACGAAAACCACGTGGTTGCTAGAATATTACTTCCGGTACAAACAGCCACATGTAAAATGTCCAGGGGAAGTAGTGCTGGTTTTGATCGCTTTATTACTATATTCTCACCAGAAGGAAGACTCTATC